TTCTCTTTAATATAATCTATTGGACGACAATGATGTGATCAAATGATTAATGATTTATTCATCATCTAATCCTTTCTACTATAAAAATTTATAAACTTTATAAAATATAATTCTTTATGAATGTTTTATAATGTATTAATTATTTTAAATGTTTAATAATGTATTTTGTAATTATACTTAAGTCATAAGTTTTATTCATATTCATTTGACACAGGCAGATACTGTATTTTGAAATATTATTATTGTATATTTCCAAAACTATGTAACTTTTAATAAGTAAACTTCCACTTATTGTTTAATAAAAGTGTGTTTTAATTTAGAATTTTAATAAGCGTATACAAAATGTCAATAAAATTATATCTAAGAATACGTGACAAGGCATATGAACATTCACTATTAATTTCATACCTAATAATAAATTTATTAGTTATACAGTTCTACTCAATAATTTTTGCTGATTCTGTTTGACAACTCACTAAAGACTCAAATTCTTGTTTTATTTGTGACACATTTATGGGAAAAGTTGTAATAGAATATCATCTCATATGTAAAATAAATATAGATTAGTAATATTGTCACAATTTGTCACAATTACTTATATTTACCTTAAATTGTCACAATGAGGACAAAAGTCCGGATTATAAACACTAAGTCATCGAAAGACAAGTTCAACGAATTCCTAGAGTCCACAAGTATTGACTATATTTGTGAAAGTTTTGATATTTCATTTCAAAATCAACTTCACTAGAATAATAGAAAAAGTTTTTAAATACTATTTTTAATTAGAACTTTAAATCAAATTATTTATTACATAAAAAGTGCAATCAATGAAAAGTGAAGTTCTTAAAATTGCCAAATTCATTACCACTTATTCATAGATAATGAATGCCTTTTCTGGTCTTATATAACAAATAATTAAATTTCTTACCAAATATTAATTAATTGTATTTACGATTCAGTAAAGGCCTTCAAACAGCAACAACTGCCCGCTTGGAAGCCATTCTTCACGTGTGGAACAGTATTGCCGTCTTTTTTCTTATTAGGCATCGCATCCGTTACTATAGGCGTGGGTCTACTGTTCCTATCATCTCGTGTCCAACAGTTTGAATTGGATTACACCCACTGTTGGCCACTCTATGGCATGACTTCATGCGCCCAAAGACTGGAAGATAATCCGGATTCCGAGGGCTGTAAGTGTTGGTATAAATTTGAATTAAACGAAGATTTTGAATCTTCGGTTTATATATACTATGCGCTCACAAACTACTATCAAAACCACCGAATGTATGAGAA